TGATAAGAGTTGTATGAGCCCTCAGTAAAATGATTTAATTATTTAAAAAAAAAAAAAAGAAATGAAACAAAGTTCATAGAGCAGCATTTGTGCACCAAGGGTCTCTTTTTCTCTGCCTTTGGTGTCATCCCTAGAGCTAAATGCTCCAGTGTCCAACTGTCTAAAATAATCATGCAGTTGCAATTTTTTTTAATTTAAAAATCATTTATCCATAAGTCATTCCCTTTCTCCACTTTAGGCCTAAAAATGTATTCTTCCTGCTGATCCAACAAGATTTATATCACATGCTTCCTGCTCTGGCGGCAACTCAACACTTCATCATATTAGAGAACATTCCTTGTGGCTCATTTATCTGAGAACAATGTTATAAAAGTTATTTCATGTTTATCAAGAAAACTTTTCTAATCATTCATGGTATTTATCTTCCTATACCAAAAAAAAAGTTCACTGCCATGGAATTGATGATAATTCATAGCAACCCTATAGGACAGTGTAGAACAGCCCCCTGGGAGTTTCCAAGACTGTAACTGTTCACGGGAATAGAAAGCCCTGTCGTTCTCCCTCGGAACAGCTGGTGGTTCTGAACTGCCAGGCTTGCTGGTAGCACACAAATTTATGACTATTACACCACCAGGGCTCACTATAATATTAGTTCTATTGTGACTAGACAGATTTCTAGATATATACACAAACTGTGAAAAAATGCATAGAATCAATGTGAGAAAAATACTCTTTATTAATAATACTTTGTGAAAGTTAAACTACAGTCATACTTTTGTAGATCTAAACTATTATTTTTATTAGCCCCTCGGATAAGGAATTTTGCTATTTGGGGTCAATATATGGGCACCAGTGCTTTTAAAAATGCACCTTTGGTTGGTTTTCAGGGGGTTAAAAAAGTCTATAAGCCTTCAGACAGAATCCTAAATTATACACACACACTCACACACAATGAGTTTAGCTAACATTTAGCACTCTGAAGAATCGGGACTCGCTGTACTTTCTACATTCCTTTTTTCTGTAAAGCTAACATTGTTCTAAAAAACTGAAGACTATTAATAAAACTTTGGCACACAGAAGTTGAGCATCTTTTGCTGAGAATTCAAAACAGTGAAACACAATTCCTTTTCCTGAAAAAGCCCCCTTGCCATACTGTCATGCTACGTTCGTGCTGCAAATAAACATCAAAGTTCCACTCTGGTCTGGAGGGTCAGAGTGGGCTGGAAAGAGAACAAAGGAACAGAAGACCCACCTCATGGCGTGGCAAACGTGCATTCAGATTAAATACGACTCTGAGTCCCAATGAGCTGCGCTTCAGTTCACGAAACAGGAGCTTCATTTTGTTGCCTCATGACATGGCCAGCACCCATTCCGAAGCTGTTCTTTTTTCTATTTGCTTTGTTTTACTTTAAATCTTGGTGACTAATACTGATTTTCCTGTTCTAAAAACACTCCATTTGGCAAAATTCATACGTCATTTGCACCATCCTTGCAGTGCTCACTGAGTTAAAAATCCTGTCATCCACAATATGCCAGAGAAGCTTGGGAAATCACCCAGGCGCGCAAGGATCCGTCGAGTCCCGTGGAAGTGGCAGGCAGAGTGCATCTGCAGGAGGCTCCAGTATTTGACAGGGAGGGCGCCGCCATGCCCTGGGCAAGAGAACCTGAGGCAAGCCTGGGATGCAGAGAAAGCAGGCGCTGTGGGAAAGGGCATAAACAGAGATAGGTAGGGCCATGAGAGTAAGAATTACAGCCAGCCCTGGAGAGCAGGCTGGATAAGGTAATTGGACAGTGAAAGCTACACATTTCCACAATGCAGGAAAAAATTCTCTGGAAGCTAGGAAAATTCTCTCAGCAAGCATGCAGTCAAGAAGAGCAGTGTTGCCAGAACAAGGGTCAGAGCACCCGGAGTTGAGTCTAGTGGGGAGGGGTATTTGGGTGTGGGCTGGCTAGCCAGAGGGCAACATGATTTGTCACATGGAGGCAAGGATGACATAGGTCAGGGTAGAGATGGTGGAGTTCACAGAGAAAAAGACGTATAAAAAGATTTCTCTCAACAAATCTTCGTTGGGCATCTAATATGTGCAGCGTTGAGTGAATGGCATTTGACTTGATTCTTGAAGGTAAGGAAGGAGAATGTCCATTTTTAAGGTCAACCACTGGTAGCCATTCATGAGATTCAATGGAAAACTGGCATTTATAATAAAAAATGTTAAATTAACCTAACACAAGCCCTTCATTGAACAACAAAAAAGAAGTGCAAGATCTTGAAAACTTGATTCTGAATAATAAAAGCTGCAGAGGATACTCAAATCAGCAAAGCTGAGCAGGGATTTAAAACAAGCACACTAAACATAAGACATGAAACCAAATTTGTCTAGTGACAGTGCAAAAATCACACACCTCGGGGACCAGAGAGGCTCTTATGGGCTCACACTGATTATAAGCCTTGGTGGTACAGGGGAATAAGCATTAGACTGCTAAGCCAAAGCTTGGAGGTTCGAATCCCCTACCCACTCTACAGGAAAAAGCAAGGCAGTCACCTTCTATAATATTGGCAGCCTTGGAAACCCTCCTGAGCAGTTCTCCTCTGTCCTACAGAAGTAGAACTGGAGTCAAACTGACTCTGAGGCGATCGCAGAGCAGGCAAGTTCTATAGAAAACAGGTCAAAATGCCCGGCAAGGAGACAGTTCTCAAAATGCAGAGAGAGAGAGAGAGAGAGAGAGAGGCGAGCAGTCCAGAGAAACCCCATGCTGGCCACACTTGCACTTTTACATTTTCCTTTAATCACATTCAAAATCAGTTGACGAAAAAACAAAGTCCATTTTGATACATTTTCTGTAGCCAACTACAATTATATGGAAACATACAGAGACCCTGATGCCACAGACAAGCAATTGGTTAGATGCTAAAGCAAAAAGTTGGAGGTTCTCATCTACCCAAAAGCAATGCTGAAGACAGGTCTGACAATCTACTTCTACAACCATCCGCCTTCAAAAAACCTAGGGAGCTGTTTGATTCTGATACACGACGAGGGGCTCTGAGTCAGAATCAACCTCTTGGATTGCAACTGGTGCATATAAAATATGATTTCATTGAAATAGTCAGTGAAATCACTCAATATGTCCTTTTACCGAAGGAATTTAAGTTCTTATACCAAGGCACTGATCTGGACCTTATCCAAATATAGATTCATCCTTTTCAATATTACAAAATTACTAATGAGATGTTTTACATTTTATTTTTCATACTAGGTCTTTGAAATTCAGTATGCCAATTTTACTTAAAATCCATCTCAACTTGGACTGACCACACTTAGAATACAGCCAGTGGTTACCACTGTAAACAGCACAGCTCCAGCTTCTTCTACTTCCTGTCTACTTGTGGTTTGATTCTATTGTACCAGAAGTCCTGCCCTCCTCAAACAGAACAGTCCTTGAACGTGGGGCCTTATCTGCCAGTCAAGGGGTACACAACAACTCAAGGCCTCCGGCCAGCTGTCCTTCCCAGCACTGGTCACAGACTCCTGGAGGCCATGCTGCTCATGGCCAGGAGCTGAGAGAAAGCAAGGTCCCTGGTCCCTGGTGCTCTGGGCCAGAGGGGAGTGGACTCCTGAGAGATTCAAGTATTAACATTCGGTTCAGGAAAAACTGCAAACAGTGTTTTCTGAGACTTATTCACGCTCTTCTATTCTTCACAACATAGTATTTGGCTCAATAAATACTTATTCAATATATCAAAAATAATGTACTTCAGATATGGAGTTAGTTCACAAAGAGAAGAAACAGAAGGGTATAGCAAGATTGCAGTTTTTTAAAAAATTATTCTTTTTACCAGGGTAAAACTGGCTTTTGTTATCGTCACGCCCCACTCATCGGGACTCTGTGTGCAGAGTAGAAATGCTTTGCAGCGTTTTCCAGGCTCGGGCCTTTCAGGAGCAGATTATCAAACCTTCTCCGAAGGCACATGGGGTGGTTTTAAACCAGCACCTGTAAGCTGTATTCCACCGGTCCAAAGAGTTTACGTGGAGGATTCATACCTGTTCTGTGATGACAAAACGTCAGATGCTGCCTGCCATTCTTGACACACCTCCCATCTGGTCGTTACCTTGCTCTCTACACTTCTCACTCCCATTGCACATTCCTTAATTTGCCCTTTATCCTTAGTGAATAGCAGTTCTTTACAAAAGAATGAATGGATATGGTTGTTTCAGGACTCCCAATTTCTTTGAGGGCAACATGCATATTCATTTCAACACATAATTACTGAGTGCCTACTATGAAGTAGGCGCTGTACCATTTGCCAGAGGTAGTAAAAGGAAGAAGGCAGGATTGTGACTTGCTGGCCCCACCACCTCCCAACGCCCGCATTTTTCTAAGACAGCATTCTACTGGCCTGTACCAAGGACATTTAGGTCACATGTGCATGGACCTGGACCCAATCCAAGTAGGAATTCATGCTTTTCAAAGAACAGCAGATAAGAGAACCGAGATAAAGCCTATAGTGGCCAAGCACTGCCTAGTCTTTTTTTTACATAGATTCTCTTATCTAATCCTCTCGAAAACTTCCCTCCCTTCTCTCTCTTCCTCAACTCCTCTTGCTCCCAGGTAATGTCCCACAGCCCAAAGACAATGAGACACAAACAAAACCAGCTGGTGTTTTTCATAAAATGTGCTTATTCCTCACACAAAACGGACCAATGTCGTTGACATAACTCTTATCCATCTTTTTCATGATCTTAAATGCAGATGTAAACACAAAGCTATAGAGAGTAACTTTAGACTATGAGGCAACCGGCCTGAGGGGAAAGGATAACATGCGAGGATACTGCCGTCAAACACACAGATGCTGAGATCTCCATGGTGTCGCCGAGGATCTGAACCAATGCCAGCAATCACCTCCCTGCGAGGCCTCGTCACTGAGCATAGTAAACTCCTTATACATAGCTGTTGACCAAACATATTGACTGATGATTGTATGTGTTGGGCTCCAAAAAAATTTAAACAGCATGTCTAAGGCCCATGCACAAGTTTCAACTCTGACTTCAAGATCGGTCCCACGCTGCCCCACGCTCTCCTCCACAGTGCCTTCCCGTGAGCATAGTCACTGGCCTATTCGTAGTTCTTGGCTTAACCTTGTCCATAAAGTGTATCAAAGGGGTTAAGGCAAGAACTGTAGGGTTCAGGGCCAGCTTGATCAAGACTTGGCCCTGAGAATCACAAGCACCATGTTCCGTGGACACCTGTGTCTGGAGCAGCCTTTGCACCACCTGGACGGGTATGCCTTCTCCTCACCATCTGCTCCTTCGTGTGTGATTGGCTAACACCATATTCTGACTTTCCCCCTTGGGTCAATGTGAAATTCTACAATAATAACTAACCACTGTGGTTCCTGTACATGAGGAGGAGATACAAGTAAAGAAGTTACCGTAAAGCAAGACAGTGGGGAGGGAGGGGTACAGACACCAAAGGAGAGGCCACTTCTTAATACTACAAAGTAATGGGACAAAAAGTAAAGATATCTCCCCCTGCTCCCCACCCCCATGCCGGCCTCCCACAACCAGACTCTCTCAGTGCTCCTGGCCCGTGGCTAATGTTTCAGTGGGACACAAAGCACAAAGAAGGAGCTGTATTCTTTGAGCAGAGATCCAGCTCTGTCTCAGTCCCACCTGGACTACAGCAGCCTCACACTGCTAAGTGATTAGGAAGACCTGCATACAGTTTTAGCCAACACATGTCAGCTCCTGATGCACCCACTTAGAACGTCTTCTGCATGATCTTTGTATTCCATTGTCCTCAGACTAGTGAACTCCTGCACACAAGCCACCAAAAGGTGCACGGCAATCAGAAAAGAATCATTTATAGTACGAGCTCTTTATGTTCTCAGTCACAAATGAAACAGCATGTCCACAGTCTCTCAAATGTTCACCCTTCTCCAAGGATAGGTTCCCTTGAAGCACACATGGCTTTCAATACACAATTGCCACTCTAGTCCAAAGAAGCATCTGAGCCACTCCAGAACACACAGCCTTCAGAGAGCAAGAACATACTTTTGATTCTATGACTCATTCTTCATGTACATTAAAGGCTATTTAGCAGTTTCCATCTTTCAATTCTTACATTGGAAGAGCCACGTGAGCTATGGTGCCAACTGCCTTTACCTGAAATGCATTCTTTCAAGGAATTCTAAGGGTCTCTTTGGCTTAAGCATCCTGGACTTTTATTAGAAAGTTCCAGAGCTGAAAGGGTAATGAAGCCTCATGTCCCTTTCCTTCTTTGGCAGTCTTTCCATCAGCCCTATGGC